CAGTCCTTTGCTGAAGGCATCTGGGTTACAGCCAGCCTTCTGCTATTACAAGCAAAGCTGCACAAACATGGTAATTCTTGCAAATTCATAGAGCTTTATATGTGGGCTGATTTTCCGTAAGTGCAAATATAGGTGTAGGTTAAAGGACATGTATATTTGAATCTGGTAAATACTGCCAAAGTGCCCTCCAAATAGAATGATGTCCCAAACTGCTCATACATCAGCAGCGCCTGTTTTTCCCCACATCTCAGGCATAGCACATTATGAATTTGTTTTCATCTTTGCCAGTAAATAGATGTCTGCTATTTTAATTGTCATGTATTTAATTACAATGAAAGTTGAATATTCTCCTGAGTTCTCTCAAGTTCTCAAGAAAGAACTCTCTTGAACTTCTCTTGAGTTCATGCCATTTATATTTTGACTTCTGTAACTGCTTGCTCATATCTATTACCTATTTTCCTCTTGAGTTGCTATTTTTCTTACTGATTTCAAAGAACTAAGGAATTACTCATTTGTCTTATTGTTGCAAATATTTCCCAGTTAACTTATCTTTTGACTTTGTTTCACAATATATTCAATCATAAAGATAATCTAAATTTTTACACAGTCAAATGTATCAAGGCTTTTTTTTATGGCTTCTGGGATTTGTGTCTTAATTGGAAGGCCCGCTCTACCCTCAGATTCTGTAAAACAGTCATGCTCTAATACTTTTATGATTCATTATTTACATGTAAGTCTTTGATCCAACTGGGATTTACTAAGTGGTAAGGCAGGGAGATCTAGGTTCTTTTTCCTATTTATTCATACAGCTAAGCAGCTGTCACAAAATCATTCACGAAACAATTCACCTTTTCTGTTAGGGTCATTTTCAACATAATCCTGTCAGCTGCAAATAATTTCACAATGGAAATCACGTCTGTAATCCCAGCACTTTGGGAGGCCAAGGCAGGTGGATCACGAGGTCAGGAGATCGAGGCCATCCTGGCTAACACAGTGAAACCCCGTCTCCACTAATAATACAAAAAAATTAGCAGGTGTGGTGGTGGACGCCTGTAGTCCCAGCTACTCAGGAAGCTGAGGCAGGAGAAGTGCTTGAACCTTGGAGGCGGAGGTTGCAGTAAGCCGAGATCGCGCCACTGCACTCTAGTCTGGGTGACAGAGCAAGACTCCATCTCAAAAAAAAAAAAAAAGAATTTCATAGTGTAGTGTATTTCTAGAAAGTCTATGTTTACTAGAACCAAACTATTTAATACATGCTGGTAAACATTAAGTATTGTTAATATTAATGAAAATTACACTGAATTGAAAGATAATGTGGTGTGTATTGGCACATGTTTACCTGTGTAATAAACCTGCACATTCTGCACACGCAACCCGGAACTAAATAAAATTTAAAAATATACATGGCATGTGTTATGGGAATCACTGGATATACCTATGATTAAGAGTAGATATAACTTACTATAAGTTCACCCTCCGGAAGTCCTTATGTTGTTTACTGGGAAAGCAATATAATATTTCACACCATAGAGTAAGCGCTCATTGCAATAGAGTGATGGCATTTACAATTTTGGGGGGTATTATTTGGCTCCAGATCATAGAAAAAAAAATGCTTTATAATTTGTTATTCCAAGTTCCTTATTTACTTAAGAGAAACGTGGGAAAATAATTTTTTTCCTGAATTTTCATCGGTACTATGCAAATAAAAGAAACACTGATACTATATATAAGTAGAACACCATTAGGAAGAGCTTGTCAGAATGCTGCTATTCTCATGTCTTGATACTTAAGGGAGCTAAGACACAGGAAGTCAAGGGTGCAGAGGAGCCATTCCAAAAGGCTGGGTCAGAAGCTCAAAAAGTTCTGAGTGAAACAAGGCCACAAAAACACAGACTTCTAAATGCTTGTTTCAACACTGGCGGAGACTGAAGCTTAAAAGTGATGGTTACAGACTCGATTTGTTGAAAATACATGTTCCAAGTGTAGCATTTTCATTTTAACAGCTGCATCATGCATTGTTAATAATACTGCTTAAAAGAAATGCTTAAAGACTACAAAACGAAGTCTTATTTCAAGGGGTTAATACTCCTGTAGTCTTTATAGATGAATGACTAAGATTGAAAAATCAATTTATATACTCTTTTTATGAAAGATTCAATCTCTGAACTTTTTATTTCTACTTCTTACCTGTTCTACATTTGCTTACATTTCTTTATGAATTGTTTCTTTTTCATACCACCTTCTCCAACAAGATGGACAGTCAACTCTATTATTCCCAGAATTTTATATCTGGAAAGGATATAAAGGGATATGAGACTGGAGACAAGTAATAGTATGCATGGCCCAAAACAGAAGAAAAGCTAGCAAAAATAATAATAGGCATTTTTTTTTGAGATGGGGTCTTGCTATGTTGCCCAGCCTGCTTTCAAACTCTAGGCACAAGAGATCCACTTGCCTCAGCCTCTCAAAGTGCTGGGATTACAGGTGTGGGTCACTGCACCTGGCCTTAATAGGCATTTTAAAAGAAAGCAGTGTTGAATTTAAGCTTACATGAAAATTTGTACTTAAAATCTGTGGATGCTTGAAAAAATACACCTCTGCATGTTTGAAAAATTAAGAGCATCTCAAATACAATAATGAGACTTGTGTTAAAATCTAACTCAGAAGGATGGAAAATTATGACTAGCTTTCCATAGAAACCAAATGACTGTACTATCTCCCTTTTAAAATATGAACCCTTGTACCCTAAATTTTCTAGAAAGAGAACACATTTTGAAAATTCAAAACTGAACATTTATTTTGAAACTGAAAAATTCTGTTCCAAAAGAAAGTCAACATCTTGTCCCTGAAATCCACTCTCCCCCACTTCTATGTTCCCCATCTGTTAATGGAATCGCCAATTTCAGAGTCTCTCGAGTGAAACTTCCAGCAATATCACTCCCATCTCTTTTTCTCACATTTCCCCTCAGGTCTGTGCCACCCTTTCCATTCCCCCAACTTCCCACAGCATGGAATCATTCTGGACTCCTTTCTCTTACTCCCCATATCTGGTCCATCAGCAAATGGACCAGAATATAATTATATTTTGAATATTCAAGATGATCAGAATTTGACCACTTCTCACCACTCCCACTACCACTACTATGGTCCAAGCCACCATCATCTCTCACCTGGTTTATTGTACTCGTTTCCCAACTTTCCTTACTTATGCCCATGACCTCAAGCTTCAGTCCATTCTCAGTGGAGCAGCCGAACACCATGGCACTCTCAGCTCAAAACCTCCAAAGGTTTCCTAGCTCAGAAAAAGCTGAGGAGATGATGTGGTCTTAAAGAATCTGGTCCCACACTCCCACTACCACCCCATAACTGCTCTGACTTCATTTGCTACCTGCTCTTCCCATGCCACACCAGCCTCCCTGCCAGGCATCCCTGTCCCTTCTTCTGCCCTGAATTCTTGCGGTTCTCTCTGCATATAACACTTGATTCCTAGATACTGCATCATCCATTACTTCTGTCAGGTTTTTATCCCAAAAGGTGATCTTCCCAGTTAGGTTTTTCTTTCTGAAATCTCACCATCCTTTCTTTGCCTTTTCATATCTTTCTTTCCTATTTTACTCTCCCTGGCACATACTATATGTTTTACTTATTTATCTAGTTTATTGCTGGTTTCCCTGAGTGGAATGAAACTACATCACATACACAGTATGTAATGTAATGTACATTACATAGTAAATTACTACGTACTATGTAAATGTACTATGTACTATGTAACGTACTATGTAATTTACTACATTACATAGTAATTTTTATCTGCTTTGTCTTCTGTCATATTCCCAATGACCACAAGAGAGGTTGGCACATAGTAGAAGCTCAGTGAATTCTGTTGAATGAATGAATGACCTAATAAATGAACCAACAAAAGAATGACTCCAGCTTGGGGTCCCACTGTATCATTCCAGGTCTTCTGCCAGCAATCTCTACCCCTTATAATCAATCCAACATGTCTCAATCCATAGTGAATATAACACAGATCTGAAACTAGCGCTCCTCTGATTAAGAGCCTAAGGGGCTTCCCACTATCCAGTGAGTAAAGTACGCTGTTAATAACATAGGATGGCATCGAGACTCTTTAGAATCAAAATATCACCTTCTAACCTCATCTCTTTACATCCCATTTTTACACCTTAATCTGTAGACCAATATCTCTCGAACTTGAGTAATTTATGGGTCCTTCTGAAAGGAAAAAAACTTCTCAATGACTCTCAAGGTCACATTCAAGGACCCCAGTCTGGGAAACACTAATTTAAGAAATTGGCATCCTGGTCAACAAAAACATCTTTTTATTGCAGATTATTACTGGTAAAATAATATTGTATTATAACCAATATAAAAACAAAATTTAAAACCTTCGTATACCTTACACTCTCTAAGAATAAATCCATGGTCCCAGTTGCAGAAAGGCTGCTATTTACAAATAAGACTACCTATCCACCCCAGAAAAGACCTATGCTTACCTGCCTCCATGGCTTCACTCTTGCTAGTCCCCCATCCTGGAATACCCTTCCCCTGACTATAGTTACCAACATTCTACTCATCATTCAAGGCCGAGTTTAATTACCACCACCTTTATGGACTCCTCTTTTTGATACCTGCAGCCAAAACTTCTACTAGTCTCTTGGGGCAATTTTGTATTTCTTCTGTAGCATTAACTACACTATTATATAAATAGTATGTTATACTATTATACTTACAAATGGTATGTTATACTATTATTTTCTCATGATAATTGTTTCTGAATAATATGAAGATTAACTTGCCCTTTTTATTTCCACAACAACCAGTATAGCGTCTTCCATGACAATAAATGTCAATTAAATTAATCATCATATAAGGTAAAAAAATAAATGCTTCTATAAATATGACCCTTTACTGATCTTCTTAAAAATGTGTACACAAAATAAAATGAAAAATGAGGGAGAAATGTTATTGACAGGACTTACCTTCTTTTAAGCATTAAGTCTGATACAGGTATGCATCTTAGACCAGTTCCCAAAACCATAAGGAAGGATGTCAGGAGCACAGTTATCCGGAGACCTAAAATGAAAAGAAAAACATTGAAATTACCTTGATTTTCTCCTAAGTCCACTGTTAAAAATAAAGATTACTTTTAGTCAATCATACTGACATGATATGCTAATATTATGGCTTTTCTGTATAACTTTAAAAATGGGGGAAAAAAAAGACGACAAACCGTACATGCTGAAAATGAAATGATGGGCTGGGCATGGTAGCTTATGCCTGCAATCCTCCTTGCACTTTGGGAGGCCCAGGTGGGCAAATCACCTGAGCTCAGGAGTTTGAGGCTAGCCTGGGTAACATGGTAAAACTGTCTCTACTAAAAATAAAAAAAATTAGCTGTTTGTCGTGGCACACACTTGTAATCTCAGCTACTTGGGAGACTGAGGCATGAGAATTGCTTGAACCTGGGAGGCAGAGGCTACAGTGAGCTGAGATCGCACCACTTCACTCCAACCTGGGCGACAGAGTGAGACTCTGTGTCCAAAAAAAGAAAAAAGAAAATGAGATGATTCTAACTTTAATGGAAAACAGGAATGTTCATATCAAAGACGGAGGAAGAAGTTCTATTAAGTTTAATTTTTCAAAAGGAATGTCTAAAATGTTCCATTCAGATATAATACTTAAAAATATGGCAAATAATTTTAAAAGACTAGATATTTTAGTTTTACATCTCTAATAGAAAAATTTGAATTTTCAAATGTAAGCTGCTAATAAAAAAACTCTTAACTGTCCCTAAAAAGTATTTTAAGGTGATAGATCATAGCTTTAAGATTTCTCAAAAATGACAACTAGGGAACTACATATTTTATAATCAGAACAAGCTAATGCTTGTTAAAGGGTCATAGGAAGTGGTCCTCTCTGATTATCAATATAATCAGTCTTTATTTTTTCTTGATTTATCCGACGGTTTTCATTATAAAATAATGCTTAATAATGTTAAAAAATCATGGCTTAGGACTTTAGAAGACAACGTGGATCAGATAGTTTTTTCCCATTGTATTCCAAACACAACAATTACTTTGAAAATGTGTGTCAGTGGTTGTTCACACAGAGGGCAAAATATACAAATATAAAAATAAGATAATCAGAAATAGACACAATATTCTAGCTATGGCAGAATAATCTAACAGAACTCTTTCTTCCTATTGTTGGAATGCTACACCTCTGTTAATACTAAATTAACATATCTTACTGTTTGTGGCAGTCACATCATATAGGTGGTTCACACTAAGTCTATGGCAAAGGTAGTCTATGGCATTGCTTCAAATTTTTCCCAAATCCAACATCACCTCGAAACCATTTCACACAGAGAACAGACATAAACTAATTAATGTAATATTTCTTTTTTTCCCAGGGCGCTCTCTCTCTCTTTTGGCAGAGGGTACATGGTTAAATGTTTGGTTTTCAAAGAGCTACTCTGCTTGAAGGAAATTCAAAGTCAACAAGACTATAATTATGCAGATCAAACATAGCAAATAAAATAAACTTGAGATCCAGATCAGGCATACACGCTACGTTAAGGATAATTTGTGATATGAACTGAATTACTTTATAATATTCTTATATAATCTGAATATGATTAATACAATTTACCAGAAGGAATACCATAGGGAACTGTGTTTCTTGGTAACAAGTAATGCATACATACTGCTCATTTACTGCTTCTACTAACAGAATACAGACTTTTAAAATCACATTACAGCCACAGGAAACAGAGTACAATTAATAAAAAGTACATACATGGTCATAAATATCCTAAAATCACAAGACGTTGCTCTTATAAGGATATACTGGGTACCCTACAAGATACTGAATAGAATTTTTATAGGTTGGGGACCATAAGGCTTACATTCTACATGATACTTATTTTTTTCTAAAGAGTTTGTTTGCAATTAAGGTAAGCAGACACCAAGCAAAGCAATGAGGCTTTATTTATGGCCATATGGTCCAATAACTAGGCTTCCTATTGTTACTGCTAAAGGCTACCATACTTCACTCAGTTATGCTTTTTATCAAATATTTCGCAATACAACAGCTAATATAAACTTTTAAGAGTAAAGAAATTGTGAAAAACTGCTTACTAAAGCAACCTCTGGCCAGGCACCGTGGTTAACGCCTATAATCCCAACACTTTAGGAGGTGGGAGGATCCGTTGTAGCCAGAAGTTTGAGATTAGCCTGGGTAACATAGTGAGACCCCATCTCCACAAAAATACAAAAATGAAAAATAAAGCAACCTCACAAGTACAGTGTGGTGGCTTTCTTGTGTATTTTAAATTGCTGCCAAGTGTTGTTTAATCTATCCCAGCTGGCGATCTTGAATAAAATGCTTTCTTCATGTCACTCACATCTTGACAAGGCATGACTCTAGAATTCCATGTCATCAAAAAGATATCAACTCATCAAGGGAGAGGACTTATGAGGACCCCAGGAGAATAGCCTTATATAGTTTGGATATTTGTCCCCACTCAGGTCTCATGTTGAAATGTAATCCCCAATGTTGGAGGTGAGGCCTGGTGGGAGGTGTTGGGATCATAGGGACAGATCCTCGTGAATGGCTTGGGCCATCCCCTTGGTGATGACTGAGCTCTTGCTGAGTTCACAGGAGATGAGATCTGGCCCTTTAAAAGTGTGTGGCACCCCCCTCCCCCACTTTCTCTCTCCTGCTCCTGCTTTCACCAAGTGGCATGGCTGCTACCTCTTCACCTTCCATCGTGATTGTAAGCTTCCTGTGGCCTCCCTGAATGATGAGCGAATGCCAGCACCATGTTTCCTGTAAAACCCGCAGAACCATGAGCCAATGAAACCTCTTTTCTTTACACATTACCCAGCCTCAGGTATTTCTTTATAGCAATGCAGGAACTGCCTAACACATTGGCTTCTGAGACATATAGGACTGTTACATAAATAGACCCCAAGTGATTACAACAGTAATAGGATGTAAGTGCAAAAGCCATCTGTGAACAATTTCAGAAAAACAAACATCATTGAAAATAAAAACATTTCTTTTCAAACACGGCATCCAACATTCAGAATGCTTCCTTTCAACAGATGCAATAACTCCTTTTGCTGGGGACCACTGAGTGTAGGAATGGAAGCCTCCACTGCAGATGTCTAAAGAATCAGGCTGCAGAGTTGACTAAATCCCTCCCGCAAAACCCACACACCCATAGTGGAAGCGTGGAAAGTCAGCAACAGGCACAGAGCTCACCTGGTAAGACCACCCCCTTCCCTGGCTCCACACTTCCATCAGCTGAAGTGAAGATGAGCTCTGCTGGCTCTGGGGTAGATCCTTTTTTCTCTGCTCATAACCTTCACAGCCTCGTCACCCTAATCTGCCTTGGAGATTGTCAGAACTAATGACATCATGCCTGTTTTTCCTGTTTAAATCAGACACAAAAGATTCAAGATTCACAGGTCATCCTTATCCTGATAGGGCTTTATACATCCCCTAATGAGACCTCATCTCTGCCACCTACCTCCTCAACCCCAGAAACCTACCTCTTTGCCTTCTGGAGTGCTCAGGCATAATCAGTGGAATCACTACCTTCCCGAAGCTCTTCTCCAAACATTCTCTCTACCTTCTTACTCCCAGAGAAATCCCTTACATTGCTTTCCCTGCCACTTCCAGATCATTCCTACTCTCTCTGCCCACAAGTTACCCAAGTTACCTGGTCTTTTTTCTCCCCATGCTTTTAAGAATTTCTCTTTATCAATGGTTTTAAAGAAGTATGAACATGATATGTGTTGGTGTAGGATTCCTTATGGGTCTTCTCCTGGGATTCTTAAATTTCTTAGATTTGTGGGTGTATAGATGTCATTAAATTTGGAAAATGTTTTGACCATTATTTCTTCAAACATTTTTTTTGCATCACTCTATCTCACTCCATGCTCTCCCTGCTTACTTTTCTCTCTTCTCCTTCTGAGACTCCAATTACATGCATAGTATGCAATTACATACTCCAATTACATGTAAATTGTCCCACAGCTCACTGATAACTCATGTCTTTTGTTTGATCATTTTTAGTCTTTATTTCTCTGTGTTCCATTGTGGATAGTTTCTAGTGCTATATATTCAAGTCACACTGACCTTTTCTTCGGCAATGTCTAGTCTGCTGTTATATTCTGTCTAGTATATTTCTGTCATCTCAGACATTGATTATATTTTTCACCTTCCACATTGATCACATTTTTCATTTCTAGAAGTTCAATGTTGTTCTTTTTTTTTTTTGAGACAGAGTCTTGCTCTGTCACCCAGGCTGGAGTACAGTGGCGCGATCTCGACTCACTGTAAGCTCTGCCTCCCGGGTTCACACCATTCTCCTGCCTCAGCCTCCTGAGTAGCTGGGACTACAGGCACCCGCCACCACGCCCGGCTAATTTTTTGTATTTTTTAGTACAGACGGGGTTTCACCGTGTGAGCCAGGATGGTCTGGATCTCCTGACCTCGTGATCCACCCACCTCGGCCTCCCAAAGTGCTGGCATTACAGGCGTGAGCCACCGCGCCCGGCCCAATGTTGTTCTTTTTCTGTCCTCTTTGTCTCTCTTTAATGTGTTCACGCTTTCTTTCTTCTATCTTCTTGAACATCTGTAGTATGTTTACAGAGATTTTTCCATTACAGGTCTTGGGAACATGAACTATTTCCAGCCTGCGTGATCCTGGGGAACTGTTCTGCCTGTTCTTTTTTGGCAGGCCTTCCTCCAGTCTGGGCTAATTTCCTCACATGTATCCTCTGATCAGTTTTCTGCTGAAGACTCAAGAGGAACACCCTGCCGATCCAGAACATTCTCTATGAAGTTTCCTCCTCCATTGTTTTCTACCTGAAGAATTCTAGCTATGTTGGCCTCTTCGAATTCTCACCTCCGTCTCCTTAATTCAGGAAAACTGCTGGGCTCTGAGTGAGCTCCCCATTTCTGTGCTCCTGTCTGGCAATTATCTCTGGATAGTAAACTGAAGCAGTCATAGGGATCACTGCCCTGTCCTGCCCTGCCTGTCGACCAATGTTTGAAAACCA